GCACGAAGTGTAGGGCACCATCGTGATTCCTGAGTTCCACGATGAATAGAATTGTCGAAGTGGATTTTACACGTCACCAAGAACTGGGGGCGCAAGATGTGATAATAAGTCATGACACTCTATGCGACCTAAGAATCAAGTTTGATTTCACTACCATGTCATTGGGGTGGAACCACATTTTTCCCGCGAAAGATGGCAATAACAATGAAAAGAGGGAACTTCTCAATTCCCGATCCTGCAGCTGTCAGCGACACTGAGACAGTCTCGAGAAGACTCTTGAACAATATACGAACAAATAGACTTAAGGAGATTATGCCAGAGTCGAAACCCCGTTAAAAAGGAAGAGCAAGAACTGCCTCATCCCTTCCAACCAAGTGCTTCCGACCAGTCGGAAGGTACTTCGGGAGAGTGCGGAATGGACGACTACGAGGTAGAACTTTGTCCGACGTCTAAATCCTATTATCTAGGGCTCACCCTACTCCTACGGGTCCAACCAACCTCTTAAGGATGTGTGAACGTCTCTGCGATGGCTAGGAGGTACTCAATGAAGTTGAATGTTCCGAGTGGGCGGACCAAACTTTTATCATTCCAAGAAAAGGGATCTTGTACGATTCATCTCTGATTTCAGGAACCGAATAAAAGGATCAACGAGAAGCCTTATCCTATCCCAAAAATACAAGACATCTCGTGAACCCAGATGGATTCACAAGTGCGCTACTAGTCTAGACCTTGAACACGAGACACTTACCCATCGAGCTGTCACCATACTCGAAGCAAACACTATGCCATTGCACTCCCGAAGGGAAAGCACGAGTACCAGAGGTTGCCAATGGGCCTATGTAATAGTCCCGACATCTCCAAAGGAAGATGAAACACGCCTGCATGACTTAGAAAAATGTCCGTGCATACATTGATGATCAACTCATCCTAACGGACGTCGGTCTCGCAGATCGCGTTGAATAGTAGGATGACCTTTTCCAAAAGACTTCAAGAAGTCGGGATTGAAATCAACACCACCAAGGCCTTCCTCGATAGGAAGAACTGGAGTATCTAGACAATTGGACTTCTCGACATAGATGCGATCCACTATCGCTCTTCCACCAACAGGAAGGACTTCGTAGATTCATTGGACCAATGAACTACAAGGGCTGCTCCAAGACAGCAGACGGAGTAACCATCGTTCTGAAACAGACGTGGGTTACCCAGTATCCATGACCGGTCGTCATGGACAGAGAACGTGAGTCCCGCGTAGAGGTCGAGAAGACTCTCCGGGATGAACATGGACTTCGTCGCAAGTTACGCGCGTAATCGTGACAAGACTACCCACATCCGTTTCAAAGCAAACCGGAAATACATTACGGAACGTCGCCAACGACTTATCCAGAAAAACACCGATAAGGAGAACACGGCAACGTTTCCCTCATCAACACATGTCAACGATACTATGATGATTCATCAGTATCAGAACCGGTCGTACGGTCAGCCCACGCACAAAGGTCTTACCACACAGACCGAGTTAATAACAATGGCACTGTACGGCTCCAACATGCTACCGCCAGTAGCGGCACAGTCTACCAGACTTGGAACATAAGGTATTTACACCCATACAAGGCCTGATCCCCTTGTAGGATTGCCATCGTGCGACGCACATGTCTACATCCAATCTCCGGAGAGTGCCCCGCACTTTATTCATATGTTCTCCTGTCCGACTGATGTCGTGCCTTCCGTGACCCTTGTCAGGGGGCGAATGCAATACACGGCTCTTAGCCTTATTCGCGACTCGATCCTAGATAGGGTTTGAGTTCGACTCATGACTGAGTCTCTCGTAATAGTTCATTTGAGACAGGTTTCTCAATGACGCTCTAGTCAAACTAGGTTGATGATGAAACATCGCTCTAGATATTTAGCCAGCAGTGGAGTACTTCCACGCCACTAGATAAATGCTAGACGAATCTTCACGCGTTCCTTTTTGGATCGTGGAGTGAGTAGGATTGTACCGCAACCTACTCTATCACACTTTCAGATCTCCCGCGGAGTTCAGATCTACGATCCTCTTTGGTTGTAGATCTCTCTCGTTGATTAGTTTTCATAGCTTTCTAATCCTCTCATAACTTTCATTCTCTCAAACTCAAAACACTCGAAAGATCTTTACACTAGCTTTTAGCGTAGTGCAATTGTGAAGATTGAATCGAATCTTACTATGAAGCAGAACCAAAGATGATGCAGAATGGATATGATATACCAGTACAAAACAAAAGAATAGCTAGTTTGGTTACCATGGATCTGGGCAGCCATTTTCTCGAGACCACTTTACAATTTCCGAATGACCATTTGAAAAAGCGTACATGATTGTTCTTCCATCCCATGGGCATCCATTCATTCGAGCCCACTTCAAAATTTCAAAATGACCACTCTCGGCCGCTTTTGCACAAGTCATCTCATCCCAAGGACAGCTGTTTTCATGAGCCCATTTCAGTGTTTCCAAATGGCCGTTGAAAGCAGCTTTTGAGCATGTATATGCATCCCATGGGCATCCATTCTCCCAAGCCCATTTCAAAATTTCAAAATGGCCACTGCTTGCTGCTTCTGCACATGTTTTTGCGTCCCAAGCACATCCTTTCTCACGGGCCCATTTCAAAATTTCAAAATGACCCCTCTGGGCCGCTTTTGCACATGTCCAAACTTGCCATGGGCACCCATTTTCATGGGCCCATTTCAGTGTTTCCAAATGACCATTCATGGCAGCACTAGAACATGTTACTAAATCCCATGGGCACCCATTCCCCCGTAACCACCTGAGTATTTCTAAGCGCCCCCCTCTGGCAGCTGCTCGACATGTCCATTCATCCCAAGCACATCCATTGGCATGAACCCATTTCAAAATTTCAAAGTGGCCTCCCTCTGCAGCCTTTTCACTTGTGCTTTCATCCCAAGGGCATCCATGATCACGAGCCCATTTCAGTATCTCCAAATGTCCCTCTCTGGCCACTACCGAACATGTGTCCACATCCCATGTCAAACCCTTGCTTCTGACCCACTGGAGAACGGAGAGATTTCCAACTCTGGCAATGGCTCTGCAGTAGTCATACCGGTAGGGGCCATGATTTCTGGAGTCGTCCGCATACCACAGTTCCGCACAATCCACGTTGTAAAAGCTATTTCTGTTATATATATCTGTACCGGTTGCAGAGTGCTTCCCAGACTTTGCATTTCTGTCTTTGATGATGGTGGGAGTCTCCACAGAATCGCAGTACTCCTTGTAAAGATCTTTCATTTTGTGGCAGACTGGAGCCACAAAGGCAAAATGTCCCATGCCAAGAAACGGAAGAATTCCATTGACCCAGACATCTTTGTGATGGAACAGCAAGCAAGGCTTCGTCACCAGATGATAGTTTCTGCCGTTTGTTGGGGCCAGCTTCATTATTATTAGACCCAGCAAAAGAGGAAGAGGAAGAAGAAGAAGAAGAGGACATGGTGATGGATTGTGGCCAGGTTGGTTGAGGACTCGACTCCACTCTCCAACAATCCCTTGACCTCTCGAAGGCACTGGGTTACATCGTACGAGCAGCAGCACTGCTGCAGGGCTGAAAGATGGAAGCAGGCAGGGAGATGCGGAAACACATTTATTATTGCATATTCAGAGAAAGATATACTTGTAACCCTATATTTACCTTAACTACGTATAAGAGCCGGCTTGCTTAGTCCCCGGTATTCTGGTTGTAGTGTGGGTGCGGTACTGTACCCCAAAATATCAGGACTTTGACCCGGTTTTCTGGACCGGGACTCATCGACCGATTGAATACCACCACGCAACGCACCATACTCCTTTCTCAGTACCAGTAATAGAATAGAAAACTTTTAAAACTTACAATCCCACTGGAAAGAAAAAGGTTTTCTTTTGATATCATCCCATGGGATTGTAAGTTCTATTGTATTACTGAGAAAGGCGTGAGAAAGGAGTGTGGAGTTACCCAAAATCCAACGTCTCTCTCACACCACTCCGCCCACCGGGTTCGTGTTAGTCACATGCATCTTTTTTTCTGGCAACCAGTACTACTGACGGTTCACCCTTCAAGGTGATGCTGGTTGTTCTCCAAAGCTGCGCACCTACCAAAGTTGCTCATCTACAAGTTAGTCGCTCTCATTTCCAACAAAAAAAACAACGGCGCGGGACACAATCAACGACAATATACACAACCTCCGCTGCTGTTCTGAAAGCCCTTTCCAGCTCCCCCATCATGTCCAACGACGATGAAGCCCCTGTCTTCTACGCTGATGCCCGCAATGGTCTCTTGACTTCTGCTGCTGATGCCCGCAGGAAAGCCTTGAACCACTTGGACTACTTCCTGGAAAGGTTACTGCAAACAGATTGGCATCGATGTGGTGAAAGGAGAGGACATCCCCTACACCATGGCACCAGCTTCGAGCTTCCATACCAGAGTCCCTTCGAGTCCAAACTAAAGCTGCAAGAAAAAATTGGACACACACGTTTTATTTTGTGGATCGATCACCATCGTCGTTTTCTTCTGATATTCCTCCAACACCTTGATTAGCCCGCCTTTGAGCTCATCTTCCAAAGCTTTTTCAGTCATTGCAAGCAAAGCATTTAATTTGGCCAGTTTTTTGCGTTCTGTGATGAAAAAAGCTCTCGACTCTTTCACTTGCATTTTCGTATGATCATAGTCGGTGTCAGCATCCTTCTCCTTCTTGGGGGTAGAATAAAAACCATCAAGGAACTTCCAGTTGTGCAACACACCGTTTCGATTGCCTGCGGACCAATTTTTGAGGACCTTAGGATCACATTTTTTCACAAAGGCCCGCAATCCATGAAGGCCTTGAGTCAGTGCCACCCGTTTTTTTTATCATCGTTGTTCTTTTTCTTCCCCGGTCCGCACCAATTCTTGAAGCCACCATTGTCGTTTTTCAACGCCATCTCGTCCTGGGTCGCAAGAAACTTGAGCAAATTGCTACAAACAGTCGTCACAGTGAATTTCATCTTGTCATTGTCCCCCGCCAATGGTATCTTCGATCATTCCATGGACAGCGGTCTCCATAAGAGCGTACGAAGTCGCAGGTTTGAAAGTCCCCGCAATTTTGTTAAGGCGGCCCTTTAGTTCGCTGATCTCCCTTTTGTTGTTATCGATCTCGCCTAGTTTGTCTTTGAAACCAGCGACGCTCTCAAAGCCCAGCAGCTTCACGAACGACAGAACTTCAGCCTCACCTCCAGCACCATCGGCCTGTGTCTTTGTCTGGGCAGGCGGTTTACAGTTTTGTTGAGCCGTTACGTCATCATTGTCGAGACTTACCGAGGCCTGTATACCGCCCTCTTGGTCAGTATTCTGTTTCTTGGCTTGTTGTTCGCTCATGGTGGTGTTGTCTCACGTTATGACGGCTGTGTTCGTGTCTCTGCGAGAGGGAGGTTTTTTCGCGCATACTCCCTCCGGGCTCGCACAACACGGTTTGTGTAGCCACACGTAGAAATGTAGTACCAAAATGAGACGCCTGCAGGTCATGTTAGTGCTTAGACAAGTCTTCGCACGATTAATTAGCCAGCACGGCTACAAGCAAGCCGAACCGACATTTACCCCAAGTCCCACATTCTTTTCCATCTGGACACATCTGGTCCAGATACCCTGTACGGAAACTGTTACCGGTACCAGTATTTAACCTCATTGGGTAATTCAGATTACATTGGGTAATTAGAAATGAAAACCCTTTGTACACATGATAACCTGATGTGTGCCTCAAATCAACTCGGAATGATGAACCGTTACCTCAACCACCAGATCTCTAGCTTCCAGCAATCGCCAAAACACAAGAAAGGTGGTTGAGGGCGGTTCAGCGCGGTTGAGGTCGGTACAGCGCGGTCGAAGGTGGTAAAAAGGGGATAAACGGGCGGTAGAACGAGCGGTAGAGGTTGGTATAGCGGGGTTGAAAGTGGTTGAAGGTGGTTGAAGTTGGTGATGGTCAATGTAGCCAATGAAGGAAGGTGGGGTAAGAGAGCCTCAGATACTCGCAGTTGGTTTGAGGCACCCCCCTGCCTGTAATGCTTGGTATCAAGCTCAATACTCTTTCTATACCTATTCCAACTTCATCCGGCAACATTACATATGGGGTTTACAAGGGGATGAGCAAACTTGCCCATGGCTCTGTGTTGAATTTGTTAGAGCGTTTTTGTAAAAATTGTGGGCGCTAAGCCAATCTGTTACTTTGGCTGTTTTTCTCTATTGGATTTGATTTGATTGCATTGGATTAGATTGGATTGCATTGAATTACAATTTACTATATAAATAACAGTATTAATTGGAATCCAATTCAATCCAATTCAATGATTCCACTTTTAGGTCACTATAGCAAGATCATGTCAATATGGGTCTATAGAGGTTGTAAACCTCCCCTCCAGACTAGGATCCAGGCAAAGGCAATGGCCCTGGTTATACCAGAGAGGCCTGCTGCATGTATCACAGACAGACCTACTTCCATCCAATTTACGGGGGGGGAAGGGAAAAGGAAAATTGGTGTCGGGCGGCTGCAACATCTGGTTCAGAAAAAGTGAACCTGATTTGTAGCGCGCCCGATTAGTAGTCCTCTAGCTAGTCCCAACACCACATAGGCACACCACCTTGGCACCCGACACTTCGGTCCACCACCTCATCCTTGATGAGTGGCTCTCCCGGATTCCTGTCGTCAGTCTCCCTTATGGTCGCCTCCCTGTTAACTCATACTCTCCGTTCTGTAGAATCTATTCATTCCCTGTCTGGGAAGGTGGGCGATTCCACTTTTAGGTCAAGTGGAGCTACTAGACTATATCAAGATCATGTCAATAGGGGTCTATAGAGGTTGTAAACCTCCCCTCCAGACTAAGATCCAGGCAAAGGCAATGGCCCTGGTTACCAGAGGGGCACTGCTGCAGTTATTCACAAGGACAGACTACTTCCATTCCAATTTACCCGTCCGTCGG